TCTGCAGGCGACTTATACACGCATGCACAGACTTGTAAGGCCGCAGAAAGCCACGCAACAATCCGCAGCTGCTCGATTTCTTTCCTCCCTTTTTAAAGGGGGAAATCATAATGGGCGCCTTTTTTTCTTTTTTTCTTTCTTTTCTTTCTTTTTCTTTTTTCCTTTTTTCTTTTGGCTGGGCGCATGGGCTTTACGCATAATCGAGGACGTTTTTTTTTATGTTTTCCATCTTTTCTTCATTATATTTCCCGTGGCTTGCCGCTGCGTGGGCCGCGCTGCGGTCTCTGGCCTGAGTTGTGCCCTGCCTGTTCCGCTCCGCGTCCCTGCTGTGCCTGCGCGTGTGCTCTCGCATGCCTTCCTGCTCCCCCTTTTCTTTCCGTTGCGCGTCTGCAGGCACACACGCAACCGCGTGCGCGCGGGGCTCCTTTCTTGGTCGGCGCTGCCGCTGCCGTTTCCTTCCGGGGCCGCGGAAGCGGGGAGGAGGGGGACGCCAAGGGCGGGGGAGCGCCCCGCGGCCGAGTCCCGCCTTCTCTTCCGCGCGTGTGGCGGTGCGGTGCGACGGATGGCGATGACGACGACGCTGACGGCGCGGCGCCGTGCGTTGCGCGCCCCAGCGCTCCTCGCGCTGCTCTGCGCCTGCGGCTGCCTCTCCGCGTGCGTCGCGGCGGCCGAGGAGGAGGTGGATGTGCCGGTGGATGTCTCGTGTGCGGACGCTGCCGACAGGTGAAGTTGGCGTGTCCCCGGCGAGAGTGCCTGGCAGAAGTGCGCATTCAGTTTGGAAGCGTCTTTCAGGAGGAGTGGGGCCATTGGCGACGCGAGTGACTCCCTCTGCGCCTGGGCCGGGACTCTGTACGGCTCCGCCGCGTCGCCCAACGGTCGCTGCTCTGCAGCCGGCGGCGCAAGAGTTGCTTGCCTCCACGTTGGTGTGCAAGACGGAGGAGGGCAGTGGGGTGCGCAGGCGGTGGCTCAAGGCAAATAACGGGGCCTTGGGCGCGTCTGCCACTGTTTCGGGCAGCGACTTACCTGGCGCGCTGACGCAGTGCGAGGCGTCAACGCCCAGGGGAGCCGCGGGAGTCGTGCACACGGATGGGCCCGAAGGGGCCGCGAAGGGACCCGCTGCGGGGGGCAAACTGGGGACGGAGGCAGAAGGTCCGAAGGGCGCAGAGTTGCAGGGCGAGACCGCGGAAGCGAGGACCTTGCAGCAGGGGGTGAGTGCAAGTGGGGCCGAGGAGAGGGGAGGCCGAAGCAGCGCCCCAAAGCCGTGGTGGGGAGCAGCCGCTGCAGGAGGGAGACCGAGGCGCCGCGGCACCCGATCAGCCGCGTGAGGCCGAAGGGTCGCAAGCGTCCGCAGCTTAGCAGGGCCGCTCCGACGCGTCCAGCCGCACCGCTTCCGCCGGCGGGGCTGGCGGGGCCCCAAATGCAGCCAGCGCCACTGGGGGCAGGACTCCGACACACGCGGACAGAGCAGTGCCCCGTCGGTTCGTTTGTGCTTGCGACGTTGCTGCTGCCGCTCGCGGCCGCCGTTGCCTCCGCCGCTTGCTGATTCCGGGGGCACCCGCACACCCGCACACCTCCTCGCAGGGACGACGCATACCGTGCGTGAGTGCCTTCTTTTTTCGTGGGAGCCCATGTGGGCCAACGTCCCTCTCCCGTGCTCGAAGGGGTGTTTTTGATTTTTGCTTTTCTCTCCTTCCCCGCTGCTCGCTTGCCACGCACACAGCCACGAGCGACGAGCTTCCGCTCCTCCTTGCGGCTGCCGCCCACACACGCCGTGCCGGCCTCGTGGTTGTGCGTCGCACGGAATGCCAAAAAAGAGGCACGAGGCCGGGCCACAGTGAAGCGCAAATGCGGTGCGTGC